ACTCCGGCCCCTCCCGCTCGATCCACGGCGTCCGCGGCTCCATCCTCGGATTCGCGGCGTCGCTGTCGAACCGCACGAACTGCGTGTCGTCCACGTAGCCGACGGCGATGAAGCGGGGCTCCCCGCGGCCGGGCCGGGACACGCCGGTGTAGAAATACCTCATGGAGTGGGAGCCTGCGGGCGGGGAGCGGCTGAGACCACCGACCCCCCTCCCCGCGGGGCGCCCGGGTCCGGGGTCGATGGGGGCGGGGAGGGGAGGGGGGCTCGTGGCCGGAGAAGGGGCGGGAGGAGCAGGGCCGGGACGTCAAGGGGGGAGGGAAGGGGGCGGGGGAGGGTGGTTGAACGGGCGGAGGGGAGAGGTGTCTGAGCGGGGGCAGCAGGGACGAGGCTTCCTGAGGGTCCCGCGTCCCCCGCGACGGTCCCCTCGCTCCTCCGTCCGCAGAGGCCGTTTCCCTCCGAATCCCGCACTCACCTGCCCGGGTCTGGGTCAGGGCCAGGGCCCCCGAGAGCAGCAGCAGGAGGATCTGGGACGCCATGACCCCGAACACTGGATTCTGGGGAGACTGAGTTCCGGCAGGTTCGTGCGGACCTTATAACCAGAAACCGAGGAGACACTAATTGGCTACTGCAGAAACCAGACACTCAATGGGAGTGAGAACTGGCGTCTCGTCATGTGTGTCCGGGCAAAAAGAAGTGACACAGGTTGTGAAACGGAGAAAGCGAAACTCCCGGGAGATGGGGAATCCCCAGCGCTGGGCTTTCTGACTGCGGACACCGCCCTCCGGGCCTGAGAGCCAAGCCCGGGTATTAGGACTTTGTCCTGATCCCTCTCCTCCTATACCGACCACTCTGTCACACTGGCTCCCTGAGTCCTACCCTAGGCTGTCTGAGGAAACCGGGGAGAGAACCCCAGGCTGGGGCCAGGCCTTTTCCTCCTCTTCCCTTCTTGGAATGCCTTTCGCTGAACTGGACTCCCAACTCCCACCCGTTTCTTCTCCCCACTGGACTTCTCTAGAAGAAAATTCACCCGCAAAGAACTTCATGTCAGAGAGTGAGCTCACCTTAGGAATGGGGTGGAAGGACAAGGGTTTCCTATTTAAACCCAGAAGTGGTTGTGTCTGAAGACACCACATAGATAGTCCCATAGAGACGAGTTTCTTTTGTATTAACGGCAGTGAGTAGCTCAACTTTGATAACCCCAAACCATCAGGAATCTAATCTGTAAGAGTAGTGATTTTCTCCATTTTTGTATGAATGTGTCTGAAAGGCTCTGCAGTCAGGCTCAGGAAGTTGCGAAGTTTCACTTTCGCAAACAATGTATCTCTGCCTCCTGGGTTAGTGTATATCAAAATTGTCTTCATTTCATAGCCCTGAGTTTGTCTGAGTCCCACACCTATCTTCAATACAAAGAAGCCCGTGAAAGCGTACTTTGTTACTGTATGTTTTAACCAGAAGAGTGTAGGAACCTTAACCTCCTCAAAGTTGCAAGTGTTCAGTCCAGTCATAATGCTTTTCACCAGTGCACACCCATTGACTGTGCGTATGAAGTCTTAACATCTAAAGGATATAACGGAAAGGTTGGCAGTTCAGGCCCACCCAGGGGCACTGGGGAAGAAAAGGCCTGTTGATCTGTTGCCCTTAAGATTTCAGCAAAGAAAACCCTATGGAGCAGTTCTCTATAACACATGGGGTTTGGCATGAGTCAGCACAAGACAACAACAAGGATGTCTGT